TTTTTTTAATATTTTGCCTTTTTGTATATTTCATCTTTTTTTTTTTTTATCAATTTCTTGTATTAGTAAACTAAATATAACAAAATAATAAAAAATATCAAATGAAAATGAGAAATGTTGCCTTGGCAACTAGCTGAAATAAAGTTAGTTTAATTATTTATTCTTCCTTATTTTATTTCAATTAACATTTAGGCTTTTTTTGTTATGAACTAAAACTGTTTTTTATAGTTTTATTTTTAATTAACAATAATAAGCCTGGTTTTGCCTTTCAATTAAAATAGCTGCTGCAGAAATGGAAGTCTTAGCTAGTTTTTAAAAATATTTTGAATTAATTTTTATATTTCCCAATTTAATTTATTTTAGTTAAATTTTTAGTTAATATTTCAGTAATTTATTATCTTTAAAAAAAACAACAGATTTGAGCACATTTTACAAGACACTATTTCTAATTCAAAATTTCATGTGCTACTTGCTGTTTCTTTTTAACTGTATAATTTACTATAAATTTTTGAGTGAAACTTGTTTCCACACCATTTTTTTTGTATGACAGTTTGTATTTCGTGTATACAGTAGTAGTTGACTGCATGACTACTGACCCATTTGTGTTTGTTTTATTATCTGAGAAGCTTCATGAAGAGGTGAGCGATGAAAGAGCTGCTCTGAGACTGTGTTTGTGTGAGGTTCAGACAGGCGCTAAACGCCCAGAATCCACTCGGTAGGCCGTTTGTCAGGGCAGATCAGATTACCTCATGCTCTCCTTCCTGTGAACCGTCACGTACATCTCATAGACACGGCCCTGAGGGATGGCACCCGCTGGCACCAACAAGCTCACGCCTGCGGAGAGACACACACACACACCGTCAGTCTGCCATCCCATGACCCCTGTGACCCGTATGTGCCACACACTTCAGCACACAGAGCAAAAGCCCCATCAACATCACACACACACTCACACACACTCACTCACTCACTCACACTCACTCACTCACTCACACACTCACACTCACACTCACACACT